GTGGACTGGATATAATTTGAGTCAAATTTCTTTTTGGGAAACATTTTATAGGTTTGCCAAATAGCCTTTTGTTTTTTGTTCAGCCCGGATCAACTAACTTCTTAAGCCCGTCCTCCATGAGGCCCATATTGTCGAGACGTTAAGAGTGTTGTAAATTTGTAATGTCACGTGTTCTGTGTTCAACAAGACTACAAGAGTTTTTCTGCGCAAAATTCAAATGCAAGTATAACATAAATTTACAAAATATCGATTTTTTTGCATGTTTACCTTAAAAGGAAAATGGCATAAAAAATATTTCAAAGTGACACGTATTAACAATTTAAACTTTGAATTTTTTTCACTCTCTTTTTAAACCTTCAAAGTGATAATATTAACGTATTAACAATTCAACGCATGTATCCCTATTTTCTTTTCTGGAGAGACGATTTCATAAAAAATATGCAACATAGCTCTTTAATAACATCTCTAACACTTTGAAATATTTTTATAATATTAAGGTAAATATTGGGAATAATATATAAATTTTATAATATTAATTATACTGAGATTGATGAAGAGAGAAATATAAAGATGTATATTTACTGTAAATATATATATATTATACTTAGAACTTTACTATATAGTAAATATGAATTTTGATTTAATTAAATTGATTAAATTGTTATTTATCCGCTATATTACCTATTGATAATCATGCTCTCGTATATATATCTTATTATATAGAACCGTGTATATATTTATTTATGTATGATTAAACTGCGTCGCTTTGGATGATTGCATGAAAATAGAAGGATAGAAGATTATTTTGCCATGTTCCCTAAATTAAACTCAAAACTAAAATATTAAGTAAATTTTTTTTTAAAAGAAGTGTTAGGAATCAAAAGAATATATAGTCCAGTGAAGTCTAGTGGTCCGAACTCTGATAGAGGAAAGACTCTAGTGCTTAGGACGGGTTCGGAACCTAACCTTCTGTTAATTACAGAGTCTTCCTTCTTCAATTGTCAAACTCGAATTTAATGACAAATGGTCACTGCTCTACGCGAAAGCTCCTCTTTTTAAACCG